ACCCTATCCCCTGCTCATCATCCGGCCCTGAACCCCCAAACCCACCCCGCCCCTGAACCCCAAAACCTAAAACCTGTGGGCTCTCCTAGGCACCTGGTGAAAGACATGATGACAGCTGACGGCTCCGCAGTCATGAGCATCCTCAGCGAAACAAACGCCTTGTTCGACACCGGCGAGGTCCCAAACACAAACGACAGGTGGGGCCAAAAACAGCCACAGGTGAGGCCCAACGACGCGCGCGGCGGTTGGGGGGGCGGAGCATGCCCGGGGAGCAGGCCCCGGCGCCGAGGGGGTCTTGGTTTTGGGGTGGTGCGAGGCACGCGTGCTGCAGCGCCTTCAACCCTCGAGCCGGTGCTCGCCGTTCATCACTTGCACAAAGGGCGCGCGTCCAGGGGAGCCTGGCAGCAGTGCTTGTGAGATGGGGCCTGGGCCGGAGCCCGACACAGGCGCAGCTGCAGAACGGGCTTAGGGTGGGTAGGGGGGCGCCGCCCGCAGGTGGTTTTTTGGTTCTCGGACCTGGCAAGCCACCCTCCCCCAAAGCAATCACCCCAACCCCCTCTGCACCTGGACCCACCCCAGGTTCGAGCACCTCACCTGCTTCGTCGGCGGCATGCTGGTCCTGGGTGAGCGGTCGCGTCGACACCGGGACGCCGCCCGGCGCAAAGCGCAGGCGGCCCTTTGCGGCGCCCTGCCGGTCCCCCGGCAGCGCCTCGCTCGCTGCTTTAAACCGGCGCGCGTCTTGGCAGCTGCCGCGCCCATCAAACCACCCAATTGCGCCGCCTCTCGAATGTAACTCGTCCCTGGCCATGCTGTCCACTGGATTACCATATCCCCTCCCTCCACACACACGCGCACACATGCGTACACACACACACACACACACACACACACACGCATGCATGCACACGCATGCACGCACATGTGCGCACACACGTGCGCATACACACAAACGAGCCCGCACACACACATCACGCACACACAGTCCCCCTCCACACACACACCGGCGCCTGCAGGGAAGCTGCACGGCATCGAGACGGCTGGCCCAAACGACACCGACGATCTCACTCTCGCCATCCAGATTGGCCGCGCGTGCTACGAACTATACCACCAATCCCCCAGCGGCATCGCGCCTGACAGTGTCCGTTTCCGCCTAAAGGCCGGCGGCGACCTGCCCCCGAAGAACCCCTACCCGCCCCCGCCGCCTCCACGCCCGCCGCCGCCGCCGCGACCCCCCGCGCCGCCGCCGCCGCCGCCGAACCCGCCGGGGGTCGGCGGGACGTGGGTGCGGCGCAACGCGTTGCCGGGGGGGTTGGCTCCCGGGCTGCTCAACACCCATCAGCAGCAGCTGCCGCAGGTGCAGCTGGTTGGGCAGCATCTGCAGCTGCCCAACCAGCTGCAGCTGCACCAGCAGTGGCTGCTCCAGCCAGGTCAGCAGCAGCAGCAGCAGCAGCAGCAGCAGCAGCAGCGGCAGCAGCAGCAGCAAACATCGCGACAGCAGCAGCAGCAAGCAGTGCAGCAAGCAGTGCAGCCATCGCCGCGAGGGCGCCGCCAGCGGCGGGGGCGGCAGGCGCGCCCTCTGCCGAGCGGCCAGCCATCGGAGCAGCGAGCGCCTGCGATTGGAGGCCCCGTCGCCGGGGCGCGGGTGCACCCTAATCCGGGGTTGCTGCAGCGGCCGCCTGCAGCGCAGGCGGCGCCGTTGACAGCAGCAGGCTGGTCGGCCCAGCTGCGCGACAGGAATCACCAACAGCAGCACCTGCTGCTGCAGCGGCAGCAGCAGGAGCAGTGGCTGCAGCAGCTGGGGCAGCAGCCGCAGGGGCAGCAGCCGCAGGGGCAGCAGCCGCAGGGGCAGCCGCCGGGGCAGCAGCAGGGACAGCAGCAGCAGCAGCAGCAACAGCAGCACGAGCAGTGGCTTCAGCAGCTGGGGCAGCAGGCGCAGCAGCAGCAGGCGCAGCAGCAGCTAGCGCAGCAGCAGCTAGCGCAGCAGCAGCTAGCGCAGCAGCAGCAGCAACAGCAGGGGCAGCAGCAGCAGCAGCAGCTAGCACAACAGCAGGTAGCACAGCAGCAGCTTGTGCAGCAGCAGCAGCAGCAACAGCAGGTTCAGCAGCAACAGCAGGCGCGGCAGCAGGGGCAGCAGCTGCAGCAGCAGCTTGGTCTGCCCATGGCCATGCCACCGGCAGACCCAGCAGCGGCTGCGCCGTCCGTGACGGCACCCCCATCGAACGGCCAACCTTCCGACCTGGCCCGCTACAAATTCGACGCTTCGCACCCCGGGGCCCACGAGGCCGCGGCCGCTTTTGCATCGATCACTGGACACACAGAGCGGCGGCTCCGTTTGGTCAAGGGTGCGCGGGGGACGGACCGGGGCGCGGGTGCTGGGCGGCGGCTGCTGCGCGCGCTTGCACAAGAGGAGGAGCAGCAGGAGGAGGAGCAGCAGGAAGAGGAGCAGCAAGAGGAGCAGCAGGAGGAGGAGCAGCAGGACGAGGAGCAGCCGGTTCTGGAACAGGACCCCTCAGAGCAGCAAGACGGGGAGGAGGAGCAGGAGGAGCAGGAGGGGCAAGATGGGGAAGCTGACGAGGCAAACTCAGAGGACGAGTTCGGGCCAGACGGGGAGGTGCGCGCTGGCAGGACTCGGGATCAGGGTCCAGGGTTCTTGGGGGCGGGGCGGCCGTGGGTCAAGCAAGCAGACCTTTGTTAGGCGCGCGTCCGCAGTTTGCTGCGAGTCAGCGGCGTGCGGGTGCTGGCTTTGTGGCAGTTGCCTCATGGTGCATAGATGCAACTATTTCTGGCGCTCTGAGGCATGGTGGGTGGTCAGGTGGTCGGACACTTGTGAGGCAGCTTCACAACACACACACACACACACACACACACACACACTGTCATCTGCCCCGCGCACCGCAGGAGGCAGAAGAGGCTCCCCGTCCGCGCCGGCGGCGCCGGCGACGCCCCCGCCCGCCGCGCCCCCC